CGAAACAGTGCATAAGGCAGGAGTATAGTCCAATCTTTTATGCTGGTCTCTAAGCTTAATTTCGTTAAGGTCTCTTTAATGGTTTTATTCATTCTTTCTATCTGTCCTGAGCTCTGGGGTCTATAAGCGCAATGTAACTTCCAATTAATCCCCAGGGTCCTGGTTAACCCCTGACTTACCTGGGCCACGAATGCCGGTCCATTATCAGACCCTATTACCTTAGGCAGGCCGTATCTTGGAAAAATATCTTCTAGGATCTTCTTGACCACCATTTGCGCCGTTTCTTTTTTTGTGGGGAAGGCTTCAATCCATCCTGAAAATGTATCTACGAAGACTAGGAGATATTTAAGTCCATACCTTGCTGGCTTAATTTCAGTAAGGTCCACTTCCCAGAATTGTCTTGGTCTGGTTCCTCGTAGGCGCTTTCCTGCAGGAAGCTTGGAAGGGTAAGCATTAACCAATTGACAGACCCAACAGACTTTTGTTACCCGTTCAGCTATTTCCTTTCGCTGTGAGTCAGTTAGTGGAAAACTCTGTTCTTGATCCTTCAGGAATGCCTGCAGTTTCTTTGAACCAAGGTGAGTGAGTTGATGTACATTTTTAACATAGTGTAGGGCTTTCTGAAATTGCAGGCTGGGCTCAGTGAAATCGAGGAGTTCAGTGTCAGCGTCCTTAGATGTTAAGTTGTCGGGGTGCTCCAACGTAGTTAAATCTCCTGACTTATGTTCCCCCGGTGTGGAAAGTGTTAACATGGTTACTCTGTTTAGGGCTGCCAATTTAGCCTCTTCATCCGCCCTTCTGTTCTCGACTGCTACGGGATCATTTCCTTTCTGGTGTCCTGGACAGTGCACTATAGCTAGTTCTCTAGGGCTTTGCACTGCTGAGAGGAGGCGGAGGATCTCATCTCTGTTTTTTATTTCCTTTCCCACCGAGGTTAATAGTCCCCTTTGCTGGTAGATAGCCCCGTGTATATGAGCGGTAGCAAAGGCATAGCGGCTATCTGTGTATATAGTGGCCTTTTTGCCTGCCGCTAGCTCTAATGCCTTCGTGAGGGCGATCAGCTCTGCCTTTTGAGCTGATGTTCCCTCCGGGAGGCTAGAGGACCAGATGACTTTAGTTCTGCTAACTATTGCTGCCCTAGCTTGCCGCTTACCGTCCTGGAGGAAGCTACTGCCATCAGTAAACCATATGACCTCAGGGTGGGGCAGTGGCTGATCCTTTAAATCCCGTCGTATACTGGTTTCTTCTGTCAGTATATGTTGACAGTCATGAGTGACAGGTCCTGATGATTGTTCAGGTAGTAGTGTAGCCGGGTTAAGTGGGGCGGGGGGTCCCAGCATTATTCTGTCCTTGTCAAGCAACAGGCTCTGATAGTGTGTTATTCTAGAGTTTGATAGCCATCTGTCTGGTGGCTGGCAGATGATGCTCTCTATGGCATGGGGGGCTATAATGGTTAGCTTCTGTCCCAGCGTTAACTTATCAGCATCCTTGATTAGTAGGGCCGCCGCTGCTATAGCTTTTAGGCAATGGGGCCATCCACCAGCCACTGGGTCCAGCTTTTTAGATAAGTAGGCTATAGGATGCAAACCCAGGTATCCATAACCTGCAAAAGCCAGCAGTCCCAAGAAACTCTCTGAGTTGCCTCCTGTTAGATGGGGGTGGTATCTGCACAACGGTTTGTTTTCTGGGCTCAGTGAGCCATCGTTTACCGCCCCTAAGGCCCAGGAAGATTACTTCTTGCTGGTAAATTTGGGCCTTTTTGGCAGAAGCTCTATACCCGAGTTGAGCAAGCTCGGATAATAGTGCTTGGGTCCCAGACTCACAGTTTTCCTTGGTGTCAGCTGCCAGTAGCAGGTCATCCACATATTGAAGCAGGGTGACTTCGGGGTGCGTAGTTCTGAAGTTGTTGATATCTCTGTGGAGGGCTTCATCAAAGAGTGTGGGGGAGTTTTTGAACCCCTGTGGGAGTCTAGTCCAAGTTAGTTGACCAGACGTTCTGGTTTCTGGGTCTACCCACTCAAAAGCAAACAGCAACTGACTATCTTTATGCAGAGGCAAGCAAAAGAAAGCATCTTTTAAGTCCAGAACAGTATACCATTTTCATTCAGGGTTTAGAGTGCTAAGCAGATTGTATGGATTAGGTACCGTGGGGTGAATGTCCTGCACTCTGTTGTTGATCTCTCTTAGGTCTTGAATGGGGCGATAGTCCCCAGTTCCTGGCTTTTTTACTGGTAGCAGGGGAGTGTTCCAGGCCAATTGACCGGGCCTTAGGACCCCTAAGGCCAGATATTCTGATATGGGCCTTATCCATCTTAGCTCTTGCTCAGAGGATATTGTTGACATTAATTGGGGAGGCTGAGGTTTTTAACTCCACTGTTATTGGAGGTTGTTTCATCGCTAGGCTTAACCCAGCAGTTTCTGCCCAGGCATCTGGGTAATCTGTTATCCATTTCTGGGGTAGCTTGCCTGTTTGATCAGTCTTGGGGTGTGTAAAGAGTTGATGTTCATCTTCTACTGACATAGTTAAAGCCATGACTATAGGAGTTTTTACTGAAGGATTTAGAAATTCCATTTGGGGGCCTTCAGGGTTAAAAGTTATTTTGGCCCGGAGCTTGGTGAGCAGATCTCTGCCCATCAATGGGGCTGGGCATTCTGGGATCACTAGGAAGGAGTGATGGACTTTTCCTTTCCCCAGGTCCATGGTCCTATTAGTTGTCCAAGCCCAATATTTACTGCTGTTAGCCCCTTGAATTAGAGACCTTTTATTTGATAGAGGGCCCAATGGGGCCTTAAGGGCTGAGTATACTGCCCCTGTATCCACCTCAAAGTTTACTGGGGTCCCCTCCACTTCAAAAGTTACTTTGAGCTCGGGGAGGGAACCCAAGCCCCGACTTTTTTAGTTATCCTCCAGAGTCAGAATGGCTGGCTGGCGTGGCTGTCTCTTTTTAGGGCACTCTTTGGCTTAGTGTCCTTTTTTTTTTTTTTTACAGTAGGCACACTGATCTGAGGCCAGGGGTGGCCTCTGGAGTGGGCCCAGGTATTCCTTCCTGTCTCCCTGTTTCTTAATTTCTGGCCTATTTGCTGTCGTGACCAGGACCTTAGTCAACGCCTTAGTCTGTCTTTTGCTTCTCTCATCCTCCCTTTGCTCCCTTCTCTTCCTCAGCTTCTCTCTTATAGTATACTTTCTCGGCTTCTCTGACTAAATCTCTCAAGGTCATATCTTGTAATCCATCTAAGTGTTGTAACTTTCTTTTAATATCCAGGGCAGCTTGCCCAATAAAGGCCATCGTGTCAGATGCCTTTTGATCCTCTGCCTGAGGATCGAAAGGAGTATATCTCCTATATGCCTCCATAATTCTCTCTAGAAACATAGAGGGAGATTCATCAGGCCCTTGAATAATCTCTCTTACCTTGGCCAAATTAGTTGGTTGCCTAGCGGCTGCTCGGAGACCCACTATTAGAGCCCGGCGATAAGTGGACAGATGCTCCCTACCTTCAAAGGTGTTGGGGTCCCAGTTGGGTTGGTTCAAGGGGAAGTTGTGTCGGTCACCCATCTGGTCCGAGGATATTTTTTTTTCTAGCTTCCAGGAGGATTCTCTTTTGTTCCTCTGTCGTGAAGAGAGTCCCTAGGAGTTGTTGGCAGTCATCCCAAGTAGGATGGTGTGAAAACATCAATGACTCAATCAGACCTGTGAGCCGGGTGGGGTCCTCGGAAAAAGGGGGATTGTTATTTTTCCAGTTATATAGGTCTGAAGAGGAGAAAGGCCAATACTGGTAGGCTTGCATTTCTCCTCCATGGCCATCGTCAATCATTGGCCCTTAAGGACGGAGGGGGAGTATCACGGGGGCTTCAGGGTTTTTAATCATTCACCGTTGGCGAGTTTCTTTAGCCGGGCCAGCTTCCTCCAGGGGAGGAGGGGCTGTGTGTGCCGCGGGGAAGTCATCTGGAGGGTGCTGGGCCGGCTCAGCCTCCTCCAATGGTGGAGAGGCTGAGTCAGCAGCAGGAGAATCACTTAGAGGGTGTTGGGGGTTGGGGGACGAGGGCAGGAGATAAGGAGGGGGAGGAGAGTCCAGTAGAGTCAAATCTTGAGACTCAGGGAGAACAGAGGGTTGAGGAGGAGGAGGAGCAGAGGGCTTGAGAGATAGAATTGTGGGGGAAGGAATAGGAGCGGGGGCAGGGACAAGGAAAGGCTTCACCCATGGAGGAGGAGATTCGCAGAGGTCCTGCCAAGTTAAGATATACGGCTGTTGATCTGGATGGCTATGTGGCCCTGGCTGAAAGACAATATCTCTGACTTTTCGAATTAGTGGGGAGTAGAAAGATCCTCCTGGGGGCCATCCGACTCCAAAGGTAGGCCATTCTGAGGCACAGAGAGTCTGCCAGGTTCGGCGTTTTACTGAAAAAGAAAGATTCTGAGCCCTGAAGCGGACTTCGGTCCAGTGATCAAGGGTCAGGGACAGAGGCGTTGAAGTGCTCTGTCCCATAATGAAAGATACACAAACAGTGAAAGCAATGTCACAGGACACAGATAAGACAAGACAATAAAGACAGGCAATGGACGTCCAACACTGAGACCAGGACTGAGTAGCCGGCAAAACCCGATGGGCTGGCAATACCGAATCAGAAACAAAATATCACTGAGTCGAGGAGACTATTGTTCCTCGATTTCCCGAGTCCTCTGGGGCGTCCCCCAGGGACGTGACCTGTGGCTCTGTGACACGTCTGTCAGCCACCTTTGGAGAGAGCTCACGCTCTTCACCGACAGCCGCTTTGCCAGCCCTAACCTGAAACCTGAAACCAGAAACCTGGAACCTGAAACCAGAAACCTGAAACCTGGAACCAGAAACCTGAAACCTGGAACCATAAACCTAAAACCTGGAACCAGAAACCTAAAACCTGGAACCAGAAACCAGAAACCTGAAACCTGGAACCAGAAACCTGAAACAAACCTGGAACCAGAAACCAGAAAGCAGAAACCAGAAAGAGGCGCCTTACTTACCCCGAGAGGGGTCCATTGGGGGTCTTTCGTCTGCCGCTGCCAGATCTTGCTGGGGCCTCCAGATGTAAAGGTCGGGCGAGCGTCGGAGGAAGAGACCACCAAGAGACTGTCTCATGCAACAGCAAAGGGTTTATTGGGGGTCCAGCATGCTGGGGCTCAGAGCTCACTCGAATAGAGCAAAGAGCCCTGAGAACAGCTTAAGCAGAGCTTATATACTTTCCTTGGAGAGGGCAGGGAGGGAAGTTACATTCTGCAGTTTGGCAGTTGGGGACAGCACATTTTGGGATCAAGATTAGCAAACAGTTCGCAGTTGGGGACAGCCCATTCTGGGAACAAGATTAGCAAACAGTTCTTAAGATTTCAACAGTGTTTTGTTAAGCATACAGAAAAACGGAGTGACAAGTACCTATTTTATTAACCTTTCAAGTCAAATGTGTCTAAAAATATATTCATTTCTTCTAGATTTTCAAATTTATGTTTTAAAACGGTCCCTAATGATCCTCTAGATTTCAGTGATATCTATTGTAATATCCATTTTTTTCCCTCTAATTTTACTAATTTGAGTTTTCTCTCTCTGGATAGTTTGGCTAAGAGTTTTTCAATCTTGTTTCATTTTTCAAAGAACCAGCTCTTTGTTTCATTTATCCTGTGTAATATCCTTTTAGTCTCTCATTAATTTAAGCTCTGAACTTTATTTCTTTGCTTCCACCAGTTTTAGATATGATTTTTGACCTGTTTTTTTTTTTTTTTAAGTTATGGAATTGCATTATTAGGTTATTTATCTGAGATTCCTCTGAATTTTTAATGCACGCACTCCTAGTACAAACTTCCCTCTTAGAAATGATTTACTGTATTCCATAGATTTTGTATATTGTCATTTGATCCTAGGAATTTTTAAAATTCCAACCAATTCCTTTGATGACCTAATCATTCAAAAATGTATTGTTCAATCTGATTTTGTTTGTATAGTTTCTATTTGATTTCTAATTTCATTCCCTTGTGATCCAAATAAGAAAATTCCCTTTTCTGTTTTTGTATTATTGAGACTTGTTTTAGTGCCTACAATGTGAACTATGTTGGAGAAAGTTCCATGATCTGCTGAAAAAAGTGTGTTTTCAGCTATTGTGGGAAGAATATTCTGTAGATGTCTATTGAATCCATTTGCTCTGTAGTGTAATTTAACTCTGTTGTTTCCTTGTTGATTTTATTTTGTCTGGATGACCTACAAGTTAGTGAGAGTAAGGGTTTGGAGTCACCCCACTATTACTGTATTGGGATCTATTTGTCCATTTATGTTGCGGAGTGCTCATTGGTGCATATATATTCACAATCATTTTAACTTCTGGTTGGATTATTCCAATTACCAATATGTAATCACTTGTCTCTTCTGAATAATTTTTGCTTAAAGTCTGATTTTTTCCAGATATGACTGAGCCACTCCTATTTGTTTTAGGGTTCCATTTTCCATCTTTTCACTTACTGTCTGAGTACTGTTTTCCTCATATGTTTTTTTGTATGCAATTCAGAGTTGAAGTCTTGTTTTTTATTTTAATGCACCAGTCTATATCTTTAATTGGAGAATTAAGACCACTTACAATCAGGGCTATTGTTCAAAGCTATGTAGTAATTCCTGTCATTTTGTTGTTTCTCTAATGTTTAATTTATTCCTAATTCTCATTTGCTTACCTTCTCTTCCAATGAGATTTTTTCTTTCTTTTTCATGCTTTCCTGGTTGTTTTATCTGTTTCTTTTGTACATAGAATTTCTTCAATTATCTTCTGCAGTTTACTTCAGTTTATGCTTAATTTTGAATTTATTTTTCAATTATGAAGAATAGCTTTGCTGACTATGAAAATCTATGTTGACAGTTATTTTCTTTCAGAGTCTGAAATACATAATATGTATTTCAAATATAGCGTTTTGCTAAGATATCTGTCATTCTCCTGGATTTGTCTTTATGAGGGACTTGGTGGTTCTTTCTTTAAATATTTTTAAATATTCTTTCCTTTCCTTATATTCCTAGAATTTTAACTATAATATGTTGTGGAAAGTTTATTTTCTGGTCCTGTCTAATGTGTGATTCTAAATGCCTCCAGTAATGGAATGTCCATCTCATTCTCCAGATTATGGAAAATTTCTGGTGTGATTTCACTGAATAAATTCTCTATGATTCAATCTCCATCACTGCTTTGAAAGGAGAAAATAACCACCAATATAGTTGACAAATTGAAATCGAACCAGATATTAACATATTTAAAAAACTCATTAAAAATGATCTTTGCAACTCCACTGAGCAAAATAAAAGAGGTGGGGGGAGTAATAATGTAGAATAGGCTAAAAGTCATTATTTAAGAATGTAAAATCTTACTAAAACAATAGGAAAAAGAGCAGAGACAAAAGAAAAAGTGAAAAAAGAAAGAAGAGAGGGAATGGAATAAAGTTGAGATAGGTGAAAAGGGGTAAGAGAGAAGAATTCAAATTAAAGAGATTTTAAAGTGCCCAAGTTTAGGTTAAAGTATGAAAAAAAAATGAATCAAAGCAAAACAAAATAGGATACAAGAAGAGAGAGATCAATAACAAACAAATACTAGTATTCTTCCTTGTCCAGGTATATACAAGGGAGACTTTTTTTTCTGGGATTTCTAGTTTTATAGTCTGCCAGGCTTTAGGGATTTGGCTTGTCCAAGCCATGATGATGTATCCTCCAAATGCTTCTGAGCATGGAGAAGGTGACTGAACCAACTAGACCCACACTGGTGTGGGAAATGTATATTTTTTTCCTACATCTAGATCAGGCTCCTCTCTCTCTTCCAAGAGCTATGCAGCACTCAGTTCTGGAGTGTATTCACCTGGTCCTTTCCCCATACTCCTTCAGAAAGATTCAGGTGGCTTCTGTAGCTGTATGGAGGACCAGGAAACTGGTGGGCCCTCCTTGAGTTGGGGTGTCCCCATTCCAGAGGTCAGGTCTTTCTCTGTGTACCAGACAGTGCTCAAGCATGGGGAGAAAGCTGCACATCTGGGTTTTGGTGGACACATTGTTCACCAAAACATGTGCTCAAAGCCGCACTTGAGGTTTGGGCAGACACCTGTCTCCAAGGGCAGTCTTGGGTCTGCTTTTATTGTCAGCAGGTAGGTAAATCTCAGCAGCCTTCCGCTTGCAACTACCTCACTGTATGGGGTCTACTTCAGTGGCATTCTCCCAAGTCCACACTGGACCAAAAGTAAACATCGGCCAGGACAATGTGGCAATATTTGCTGTGCCCCTAAACCACTGCCAAAGACTCAGTGCTAATGTGGCCTTTCTTCAACAGGTACTCTGGGGGCAGGTGAACATCAGGCAAAAGAAGGAAGTTGGACTCGTACATTGTGCCTCATACAAAAATTAATCTGAAAAGAATTAAAGACCTAACTATAAGAAATAAAACCTTTTTACATTCTTAGAATAAAAGGTACGTAATTCTCCATGACCCTGGATTTGGCAATGGAAACAGATATAACACCTAAAGCTAACAAAAAGAAAAAGTAGATGTTAGATTTTATTAAATTTAAGATTCTTTTCTTCCAAAGACATTATCCAGAAAGTGAAAAAGACAAACTTAATAAAAAGGTAGCATAGTCATAAGTGATCTATCTGATAAGATTTTAGGATTCAGAATATGTAAAAAAAATATTCTAATGCAACAACTAAGTGCCTAATAGCCCACTTTGTGTTTTAAAAAACAAAAATAATCGAGGCACAAAAGGCTGAGGCAGGAGGATTGTAAGTTCAAGGCCAGCCTCAGCAATTTAGCAAGGTCTTAAGCAATTTATTGAGACCCTCAGCAACTTAGCGAGATCCTGTCTCAAAATAAAAAGGGCTGAGGATATTGCTCAGTGGTTGAGAGTCCCTAGGCTCAATCCCTGGTAGAAGGAAGGAAGGAAGGAAGGAATAGAGAATCATTTCTTCAAGGAAGACCTATAAGCACCCTGCAAAGACAATAAAAAAATGTGTAACAGTGTTGGTCATTAATTAAAATCAAAATCATAAATATACATACCACTTACACCCACTAGGATGACCACCATACTTTTAAACAAATGGAAAATTAGAAATGTCAGCAAAAATATGGAAAAATTGGAATTCTCATAGATTGCTATTAGGACATTTGATGGCTCCTAAAAATGTTATATGTAGACTTACAATATAAGCAAGCAACTCTAATCCTAGGTATCTACTCCAAATAATTGGAATGGATATTTAAACAAAATCTGTGCATAAGTACTCATAGTAGACTAGTCACAATAGCAAAAACAACCCAAATGCACATCAATTGATAAACCAATAAAAATTGGGGGTATATACCTATAATGTAATATTGTCCTCTGAGGAGTACAGTTCTCATTTGTGGTAAAACATAGATGATCCTTGGATTATTCCAAGTGAAAGAAGCCAGTCACAAGATATCACACATTTTATTATTCCATTTATAGGGCTCTTAATTAGCTTGGGTCACTATAATGGATTACCCCAGGCTGGTGGCTTAAACAAAAATTACTTAATTCTGACAGTTCTTGAGACTGGGAAGTCTGTGATACAGATGCCATCAGATCCTATGGCTGGTGAAAGCCTATTTCCTAATGTGCTCTTTGGTATCCTCATATGGCAGAGAGCAAACAGAACACACTCTTTTAGGGGACCTACTCCCATTCATAAGGGGTCTGCCCCCATGACTTCCCAAAGACTCCACCTTTTAACATATATCTCTGAAAAGTCCCATCTCACACTATCACATTGGAGCTTGGGTTTTCAACATATGAGATTTGGGGGAATGAAACAATTCAATTCATAACAATATTAAGTAAATTGATAGGTAAATTCATAGACAAAGAACAAGATCAGTGGTTTCCAGGAGCTAGGAGAAGAGGGGAGGGGAGAATGAATGCTATCAGATTTCTATGAGCTTTCTTTTGGAGATGAAGAAAATGTCTTGGAAGTAAATAGAGGTAGTCATTGAACAAAATTTTGAATGTGCTAAATGCCACTGGATTGCTCACTTTCCAATGCTGAGATTTTCATGATGTGAATTTCACTTTAATTGATATAAAAAAAAAAAAACAGCTTCACAATTTTCCCCAAATCCTAGGCTTTAACTCTTCATCTTGAATTCATTTATTTCTGCATCGATTTGGGCTAAAATGTTTGAAAAGTGTAAAACACTGTGCACACAGTGATTTCATATAAAACCAGTGGGTTGATATCATTTTCTTTATCCTATTCACAAATTACTTCACTGGTGCAGCAAGAAAGTGATAACTCATTTTCTACAGAATAAACAAAGCACAGATATTGCCGTATACTGTCATTTTCCCGTGGTTCCTCAGGTTTACCAGATACAGTATCTGCT